GCGGCGTGGGGGGATCCGCCGCGAAATCGGGTTCATGAGTAGAGAGGAGCCTTTAGAAGTGCCATCCGCTGAGGGAGCGCCGTGAGGCTGTAGCTCACGTGTTCCTTGAAAGGTAAAAACCCCCCGACTGCCGCAGCGGAATTGTACATAAAGTAACATCTGTTTCTGGGTGGATTTTAGAGCAGGACTTGTTAAAGAAATTGGGAAAAACTGCTCCGACCCACTGGATTTGGATTAATAAATGTAGCCAAAGAAATTTGGAAGGAACTGTTCTTAAGTCTGTCTATAAAAACGAAGATTAATCTTACCCTGTTTTTCATATAAGCACCATGATGGATTCCCCCCCTCAAGTGATTGTTTTATGTTGGTTTGAGATTTTAAAATATTTGGTTTATAGGAAAAGTGTTTGTTGCATTTTCCCCCCTGAAAATAATTAGAAATTAAATTTTTTTCAGTGCACCATTTCAGACTGAACTTTCTAATGTATTTCCATAGGGGAAGAATTAACTAACTTGATGTTCAAGAAAATTTCCAACAAGTGCCCTTAATCATCTAAGAAAAAAAAAAACAAAACTAAAACCGTATTTGCACATTATTTCTGGAAGATAAAATTAAAACGTGTAGGGACTCATATTTGTGATGATTAAAGAGTTTCTAGAGAACTGGTTATTTTAAGAAAATCCTTCCTAGGAGAATTGTGATTGTGTTTAGCAAGTTATCGCCGAGTGCTTGTGAATTTATTTTAAAATATTAGCAGTGGTGCCTAGACTTTTAAAAAAAAATATATATATGCCAAAAAATTCACATTTGTCATAGATGGTGATCAGTAAAAAAAAGAAATTAAAGGTTGATGTTTATGTATATCACCTAGTTGAAAATAATTCTGAAGGGACTTTTCTTCCCCCATGCACACTTGGGAAGTTGCATGCTTGCAGTCATTGTTTAAGATAATACCGTTTGGGACTTTTCTTTCACTCTTAGAAAACTTGCAGGCTTTTGTTGGATTCCTCCAAATAAAAACTCAGTTCAGTTTAGATGGTTTAAAACATGTATATTATTCAAAAGCTGAAGATGCAATAATATATAGAAAACACTACCTTGGTAATATTTAAAGGCATTAGCTGAAGATCGAGGAAAGAAAGATTTTTGTTTTGTTTTACTTGTCCTGCTTGAGTATTCCGGAGATGCATTTGCTCTTGATTGCTGCTTGGGAATTTTCAGAGGGTTACTGCAAATTTAGAAGGCATCATTCAAAGGACATTTAATACTCTTGTATTTGCTAAAACAATATATCTCTATTTGAAAACTATCTAGTTGAAATGGAAGATTAAAAAAAAAAAAAGGGAAGAGATCTTTTGTTGCCATTCTTCATTACTCCTTATTTTGTATTTGTGTGGAATGTGTTGTTGGCATATTTGATATATGATTTTTTTTGTACAGAGGAGCATTGTTGTTACTTTTAATTGGGAAGTGCCATGTTCTAGAAATTACCCACATTCCCGACTCTGAAGTACCGTAGTAGGATTGACAAAAAATGATCCGAGGCTTGTGCGCTTAATTCAGCAGGAATGTTAAGCTTCCCATATACACCCTATGTGGTCAAGTTAGACTTTCGCTCCTAAACAGTTTTTAATGGTCAAAGTTGTACCTGGAGGAAATGTATCCATGTATATCTATATGGAATTGAAATGAGATGGTAACAAGCAGTGGGAATGCAGCTCACTGATCGAAAGACCTTTTCTTTTTTTTTATTGCATTTGGCAACCTCTTTCTTTCAGAGACACAATACAATTAATTAACATATTCTGGGGCGTGTTTTTGAGATTGGGAAGTGGTGGCCCCTTGTTGAGAAGAAAACACTTTAAATAAAAAAGTAACATTGTCTTGTCCAAATGGTAGTGGGAAAAGCAGAGTAGTATTGCTTATCCAGCCCACGGATGCGGTTGATTTACTCCAATTTGCTTTAGCATATAACAAACCAGCTTTTCCTTTCCCACGCTTATATTAGATATATGTGTTTTGTTTATACAAACCCATCTGAAATAGCTCTGCATTTAAGAGATTTGATGGGAAATTCAGCATGTTGTTTCTCATATGTAATATATAGTATAGATACTGTTCCTGAATTGAAATGAAATAAATGTGACCTGTGACACAACACAGTATCACAATGCCGATCGTAACACAACAAACATGAGAAGAAGGCTATTAATTTATATGGAATGTTAATGTAGCAAATCCTACATAGAAATATGCCAATAGAAGTAATCCAAGGTTTGGTCTTGGAGGGATGCTATGTAAATGTATTTAATATAAATCCAATGAATTAATCCATACCTCATAAAAATCCAAACTTTGAAATGAAGTATTCTTCTTTGAAGAAAAGCCCTGTGTTACAATTTAAATTGCATATAATCTACATTCCAGAGTTTACTAACCCAGCTTCTCAGGGCTTAATGTGGTATTAATATTCAATATGGTTTGCTAGAAGTTTATTTCAGGTTCTTTTGTATCATACTGTAATTATCATTACTTTGACTTAACTCATATAAAAATGTGGTTAGCATTTAAATGCTTTTTTAATGCAGAGAATTATAAATTAACTGTCACATTTAACTTCTTTAACTTCTATCACTTAGGGAATGTTAAATCTTTAAAAGGAAATAATCACTGCACTTAAAAACATCCTGTGCTAGGTTTCCTTTATTTAGAATTTTGGTTTGAGATTGTTCATTCAAAGAAAATCCCTTGTTTCATGTTTACTGTAAACCTCAGTCTAAAATTAACATTTAAATGCCAACACTAGTAACAGAAGCAGTACTTGAAAACCACCAATTTTATCCATTGCTGCTAGCTAAGTGGAATTCACCAAACTCTCGAAAGGTGATAATACAATTAAAAGCAAGACAATGAATGCAATAGCTGGTGGAATTATTTCCCCCTTTTTTTGTAGTAAAAATAATTACAAAATTTGTAAATATGTTCGCACAAAAGAAAATGGCACAACATAAGAAGAGGCATGGTGTCCAGGAGATGCACTGACATGACCTCCAGTGCTGCTACCTGTACTTGCATGGCATGTAAATATACAGAGCATTGCAAATTCCTCATCACCAAGTGACTGCATGTTAAATGTTGAGATGTATAAATTATTGAGTACATTGCATTTGGGTAGGTGTTAAATACAGATTTTAGCAATATATTAAAGAAGAGGAAAAGGAAAACTTTACTCTTTCTCAATACAATTTAAGAGTAAGCATGTAAAGATACATTTACTTTATTAATGTGGGTTCTGTTGACATGCTATATCCTTCATAACTGAACAAAGATAGAAAGAATTTGTTGGATCTAAGGCAGACTGCTATTTAAAATGCACTGCGTGCAAGGGTCAACATGTAAGAGTTGCATTTTATTTTGTGCAAAGTGACCATTTCCCTGCTGCCTTCCCAGAAATGAAGCCAATACCCACGATTAGAAGGTATTTCAGTGAATGCTGTTAATGATTTAAAACCACATAAACAAAAGGCAGACAAGCATCAATGTATTTTAAATGGATAATCAAGAGATAGATCATTCTACCTATTGAACATCACTAAGCTACTGCAATTTTCTGTTTTCAGTTGCATCTGTTTAGCTGCAGTATGTATCTTTTTGCACTTAGGTAAAGATCACAGCCTTCTCAACAAAGACCCAGTCTGAAAACGGAGTAAAAATTACTGTGAGAAGTTTGCTTTCTGGAAGGAAGTGAGTTTTCCTGCTCTACAGCTCCAAGTCCCAATATAAATTTATGCTTTCTAATATAGTATGCATTTTATATCAAGTCTATGCTTTTTCTGTTATTTTTGGAAGACTCATCTGATGAATATATTCAACTGGTAATGTGGCTTTGTAAATTAAAGACTTTTTCTTGTTTAATGCTTTGTTTTATTCACTAAAATTACAATATGATTTTGCACATCTTAAGAAAAGAAGGTGACATTTCAACCAAACATTTAAAAATCTTAGTTTTACTATTGCAACTGATTATTTTGTAGTAAAAATTTGTGAGTACATCTTTATTTTTGTTTATAAAACTGAAGTGCTATTCACTCATATATGCTAATGTTTTCTTGAATGCCTTAAACTTCTACAAACAATTTGCAGTTGGAGAGTGTAATTTTCTTTTACTTACACATTCATTCTGTTTGTGAAAGTAAGAAAAATTGAAACACAAAATCTTCTTATAAGTTTCTTATATTCTAACTTGTTCAGCTTCTAGATTTTGTAGGTTCCTTTAAGCGAATTGGATTTTCTCCTTGCATTTAGATTAACAATAAAATTATTCACTCTTACTCACTGAATTATATTTTTCTCTAATTATTTTAATCTCTTATTTGTCACTATAAGAAGGACAGGTTTCCTTTTTTAGAAAAAGAAAATTGGCCTTCTGTGTCATGTCAGTGCTTATTAAATACTACAATCATAAGAACATATATGCTACAAGATTTTATGTTTTGATTCCATAGCTGTTATAGGCTTAGTGTTTGCAGTATTTATTTAGTGGTAATGCTTTTCTTTTCCTATTTTGCATTTCAAAGGTCTTCTCTAAATGATTGTTTTACAGAACTATCAAGAGGTTATCTAAATTTTTCAATCAAATATTACACAATACCATAAAGTGGTAGTCATGGAGTTTCTTCCAGTCCATGTAAAGTCTTTCTATAGAAAGAATTATATAGAAATCTGTAAGAAGACAACAAATATTTCATTAAATAACTGAATGTATTAGGCTTGACTGAATTTTAACCAAAGCAAAATTTCGGGATGTTCATTACTGGGCTGGTGTGTTACATGGTGTGAGATTAGAATATTTTTACTTGAAAACTATACAGTAGGTTCTTCACGAATATACTGTTGTTGCTATGGTGCAGCTTTAATCAAGTTGTTGCAAAGTAATTAGTTTTTACTTTGGTGATGCTGCTTTATAAAACTAAAGATTGAGCTTTAAAATAGCTAACATAAAAAAAGACGCTTGGGAATTGATTGTACTAGTTGCTTTTCAGACAAGAAATTGCAGGAATACCCCAAAAAAAAGTGGTGAGAAAAATTTACAATTGTTTGTTACAATATACATTTTACTAAAAGTATAAATTCATCCAACAAAATATATTTAATATATTTTCATTTAAAAATTAAATTTATCTGCCAGGGAAATAAAGGGTAGATTTCCTGCTGTACTGTGACTTTTTTTTTTCTTTTTTTGGTTAGGGTTAGCAGAATCATTGACAATGCTTTTTAAATTAGATGTCATTTTCTTGACAAGAATGAAGAAGGGCTGCAACACTGTATCTATCAGCTTCAAATAATTTGTGTTTTTAAAAACACCAGGATATATTAATTGCTTTATTTTCTTACAAAGTAATTGCTTGCACCTGCAATTTTCAGGGTATTTTTATGAGCTTATGAAGTAATAAAATTAGTGTTTTAAGTATGTTTAATAACAAATAGTTTTATGTTCAAATTTGTATTCTTCAGTGTTGATAGGACATTTGGTGCAGGGTGGCTTTTTTTTTTGAGAGCGGTCTTTGATTTTACACAACTGAACCATACTACATTCCAGTTTCCTCCCCCTCCATTTTTTCACGTATCTTAAAAATTTCTAAACTCTTCTGGCTATTTGGAGCATATATTTCCAGAAAAATGCTTAGGATGCGCCCGAAATGGCTGCAATAATCTCATGTTTGGTTGGGCCTTGCATGTAGGAAACTACCTCCATGATTCTTTTTTGCCTGGCTGCCATTCTTCCTCTATCAAAATAATTTCACTTAAAACTTGAAGGAGAGAAAAGAGCTTGACCTAAGATATCCTGAATACAAACTGCAGACTTAGATATCTGCAGGGGGTAGAGTTGTGCACATCCCACCTCTCCCTTCCATGCAGCAGTTTGTTAACTAATAAAACATCTGCACTTGTGTACAGGACTATGACAATGTATAAAATATAATCTGCGTACGTGTGGGTCTAGGTAGTGCTGTGTCCAGGAATGTACATAATTCAGTAGTGATTTGTACAGATACCAGCTCAGCTGCCCTTGCAAAATCATCGTGAAAAATACAGCCCACACACAAATTCTGCTTCTCTGCCTTTTAGCATGATAATGAAGATGAATCAATGATATCTTCCTTGCCCAACACAAAATAAAACAAACAAACAAACAAATAAAGAAATGCTAGGCCCGGGGCAAGTGAGTGACCAGGATTTTGCAAGGCTGCATTTAATTTCTTTATGCTCCTAACAATCACCACAATTAGTTCCTTCTGCTACAGGCATACCTGCTTACAATGGAGAATTGAATAGCCTGAGATTTTCCTCTCTGCTGACCACCTCAGCTCGCTCCCCTCAGGTTTTTTTTTTTTTCTTTTGCCCCCCCCCTTTTTAATTTAGAGAGACAACAGAATTACAGAGTTGTTTTATTAAAAAAAATAACCCAATCGCCCAACTTCTAGAAAGACATGTCCACCTCTGTGTAAAAGTAGAGAGCAGCTGCTGTGTGGAAGAACATGCTTGTTTTTGTGTGTCTGCAGCCTCCCTGGTTTCTCTATTTGTCACATCTCCCGTTCAGCATCACTTTCGCTGCCGTGGCAGGGATAGCCAGGCAGCGCCGCATCCGCGCCATGAGTTTTGAGGGAAGAGGAAAGAGCAGGATTAATAATGCATTAGCTTTGCAGCCCCATCGCAGGGAAAATAAACAAAATAGTAAAAGTTGCGGTGAGGGCAGGCAAGTGGCGTAATAGCGAGAACGCATTAGTCCTGCAGGCACACCGAGGGGATATAAACAGGATAATAAAAGTTGGGAGCGGGAATGCATTAGTCCTGCAGTCACATCAGGGGGAAAATAAACAAGATAGTAAAAATGATTTCGGGG